TGTTGACGGGCCGGGGTCTGCGGGCTACGGCAACCATGGCTTCCCACCCTGGCTCTGTAAACACTCCCATGGGTGCTATAACCCCCTTGCCTGGTTAAGTTCCAGCTGTGTCTGGGTACAAGTGACAGGATGAACAACCCAGCGGGTTTTCTTCCTATTGGGGAGTGTTGTACATGCTGCTATGGCGGTATGTCCACTCACAAGATGAGTGGCGCTGCCCAATAAACTCGCCCCTCGGGGCAAAATTTAAATTTTTTTAACTTAACATGGCACAGCAACTATGTTACTTTATAATCCCCCCCCCTTCCCACACACAAAGGATAAACTCTTCAGCACGGGTGGTACGCGAACAAGGGGACACAGGTGGAAACTTAGTACCCAAATGAGCCACAGGGACGTTAGAAAGAACTTTTTCAGTGTCAGAGTAGTTAACAGGTGGAATGCATTAGGCAGTGATGTGGTGGAGGCTGACTCCATACACAGTTTCAAGTGTAGATATGATAGAGCCCAGTAGGCTCAGGAACCTGTACACCTGTTGATTGACGGTTGAGAGGCGGGACCAAAGAGCCAGAGCTCAACCCCTGCAAGCACAACTAAGTGAGTACACACACACACACAAACTAGGCGGTGGTACAGGCCAGATACAGGAGGCCAGACACAGGAGGCCAGATACAGGAGGCCAGACACAGGAGGCCAGACACAGGAGGCCAGATACAGGAGGCCAGACACAGGAGGCCAGATACAGGAGGCCAGACACAGCATACCGAATGGGAGATGAAATATCCACGCAGATTCGGAATGGAAAGAACAGTTGAGCAGCGAAGTTGCAGAATCTGAGGTGAGCGTTGGTGAACGGTAGTTTTTTGTGGATGAGTATTTGTTATTCTTGCCTTTGAATCCCCTTTTGATGAGGACTCAAATTAAATTATAGGCCTAATTTAGTGCCTGCGTGTACCATATTAGGCCTAGGAAAAGTTACTAGTACACAATGTAGACGTATTGGGGTGCAACAGTCCATGTTTGTTACGTTATATCAACAGTTCTTATAGTTACTACCACTCCTGGACCACAGGCTGGTGCGCGCACCAAATGGTCCCGGGTTCGATTCCCGAGCAGGATGAGATGTGTGTGTGTGTGTGTGTGGGGGGGGGGGGCAAGTTTTATCAGGCCCATAACTGATGCCTGTCTTCCGGTAGCAGTAAAGAGGCAGGTGGGAGGCAGGACTGTTGTGGGTGGCACCTGGCAGGTGGGAACCAGGACTGTTGTGGGTGGCACCTGGCACAGGGCAGGCGCTGGAGGGGTGACCTCAATAAGCCTAACGGAGTTTGCGAGGCGGCGCACACTTGACAAGGATAAGGGTGAGTTAGTAGTAAGGTGAGGCCTTCACGCTAGGTCACACTAGCCAGGGTAACTGTGGGCCAGGTTACGGGCCCGCCACACTGATGACACACTAGCAAGGGTGCGTGGGGTTGGCTTGGTGGGAGCGGAGGAGGAGGAGGAGGAGGAGGAGGGCGGCGGCGGCGGCGGCGGCGGCGGCGGCGGCGGCGGCGGCGGCGGCGGCGGCGGCGGCGGCGGCGACGACGCCGCTGCTGCTGCTGCTGCTGCTACTGCAGGTGGTGGTGAGTCGTGGGTGGGTAGTGGTGGGTGGTGGTGGGTGGGTGGTGGTGGGTCGTGGGTGGTGGTGGTGGTGGGTCGTGGGTGGGTGGTGGTGGTGGTGGGTGGTCGTGGGACGTGGGTGGTGGTGGTGGTGGGTCGTGGGTGGGTGGTGGTGGTGGTGGTGGGTGGTCGTGGGTGGGTGGTGGTGGTGGTGGGTGGTCGTGGGACGTGGGTGGGTGGTGGTGGGTCGTGGGTGGGTGGTGGTGGTGGTGGGTGGTCGTGGGACGTGGGTGGGTGGTGGTGGGTCGTGGGTGGGTGGTGGTGGTGGTGGGTGGTTGTGGGTGGGTGGTGGTGGGTCGTGGGTGGGTGGTGGTGGTGGTGGGTGGTGGTGGTGGTGGGTGGTCGTGGGTCGTGGGTGGGTGGTGGTGGTGGTGGGTGGTGGTGGTGGGACGTGGGTGGGTGGTGGGTGGTGGTGGGTCGTGGGTGGGTGGTGGTGGTGGTGGTGGTGGGTGGTGGTGGGTCGTGGGTGGGTGGTGGTGGTGGTGGTGGGTGGTCGTGGGACGTGGGTGGGTGGTGGTGGGTCGTGGGTGGGTGGTGGTGGTGGTGGGTGGTCGTGGGTCGTGGGTGGGTGGTGGTGGTCGTGGGTCGTGGGTGGGTGGTGGTGGTGGTGGGTGGTGGTGGGTCGTGGGTGGGTGGTGGTGGTGGTGGGTGGTGGTGGGTCGTGGGTGGGTGGTGGTGGTGGTGGTCGTGGGACGTGGGTGGGTGGTGGTGGGTCGTGGGTGGGTGGTGGTGGTGGTGGGTGGTCGTGGGTGGGTGGTGGTGGTGGTGGGTGGTCGTGGGTCGTGGGTGGGTGGTGGTGGTGGTCGTGGGTGGGTGGTGGTGGTGGTGGGTGGTGGTAGGTCGTGGGTGGGTGGTGGTGGTGGTGGTCGTGGGTCGTGGGTGGGTGGTGGTGGTGGTGGTGGTCGTGGGTCGTGGGTGGGTGGTGGTGGTGGTGGTGGTCGTGGGTCGTGGGTGGGTGGTGGTGGTGGTGGGTGGTGGTAGGTCGTGGGTGGGTGGTGGTGGTGGTGGTCGTGGGTCGTGGGTGGGTGGTGGTGGTGGTGGTGGTCGTGGGTCGTGGGTGGGTGGTGGTGGTGGTGAGTGGTCGTGGGTCGTGGGTGGGTGGTGGTGGTGGTGGTCGTGGGTCGTGGGTGGGTGGTGGTGGTGGTGGGTGGTGGTGGGTCGTGGGTGGGTGGTGGAGGTGGGTGGAGGTGGGTGGTCGTGGGTGGGTGGTCGTGGGTCGTGGGTGGGTGGTGGTGGGTCGTGGGTGGGTGGTGGTGGTGGTGGGAGCACTCTACAACACTGGTGGTGGTGGTGGTGGGAGCACTCTACAACACTGGTGGTGGTGGTGGTGGGAGCACTATACAACACTGGGAGCACTCTACAACACTGGTGGTGGTGGGAGCACTCTACAACACTGGTGGTGGTGGGAGCACTATACAACACTGGGAGCACTCTACAACACTGGTGGTGGTGGGAGCACTCTACAACACTGGTGGTGGTGGGAGCACTCTACAACACTGGTGGTGGTGGGAGCACTCTACAACACTGGTGGTGGTGGGAGCACTCTACAACACTGGTGGTGGTGGGAGCACTCTACAACACTGGTGGTGGTGGGAGCACTCTACAACACTGGTGGTGGTGGGAGCACTCTACAACACTGGTGGTGGTGGGAGCACTCTACAACACTGGTGGTGGTGGGAGCACTCTACAACACTGGTGGTGGTGGTGGTGGTGGGAGCACTCTACAACACTGGTGGTGGTGGTGGTGGTGGGAGCACTCTACAACACTGGTGGTGGTGGGAGCACTCTACAACACTGGTGGTGGTGGTGGGAGCACTCTACAACACTGGTGGTGGTGGGAGCACTCTACAACACTGGTGGTGGTGGGAGCACTCTACAACACTGGTGGTGGTGGGAGCACTCTACAACACTGGTGGTGGTGGTGGTGGTGGGAGCACTCTACAACACTGGTGGTGGTGGGAGCACTCTACAACACTGGTGGTGGTGGGAGCACTCTACAACACTGGTGGTGGTGGGAGCACTCTACAACACTGGTGGTGGTGGGAGCACTCTACAACACTGGTGGTGGTGGGAGCACTCTACAACACTGGTGGTGGTGGTGGTGGTGGGAGCACTCTACAACACTGGTGGTGGTGGGAGCACTATACAACACTGGTGGTGGTGGTGGGAGCACTATACAACACTGGGAGCACTCTACAACACTGGTGGTGGTGGGAGCACTCTACAACACTGGTGGTGGTGGTGGTGGGAGCACTATACAACACTGGTGGTGGTGGTGGGAGCACTATACAACACTGGGAGCACTATACAACACTGGTGGTGGTGGTGGGAGCACTATACAACACTGGTGGTGGTGGTGGGAGCACTATACAACACTGGGAGCACTATACAACACTGGTGGTGGTGGTGGGAGCACTATACAACACTGGGAGCACTATACAACACTGGTGGTGGTGGCGGGAGCACTCTACAACACTGGTGGTGGTGGTGGGAGCACTATACAACACTGGTGGTGGTGGTGGGAGCACTATACAACACTGGGAGCACTCTACAACACTGGTGGTGGTGGGAGCACTCTACAACACTGGTGGTGGTGGTGGGAGCACTCTACAACACTGGTGGTGGTGGTGGGAGCACTCTACAACACTGGTGGTGGTGGTGGGAGCACTCTACAACACTGGGAGCACTCTACAACACTGGTGGTGGTGGGAGCACTATACAACACTGGGAGCACTCTACAACACTGGGAGCACTCTACAACACTGGTGGTGGTGGGAGCACTATACAACACTGGGAGCACTCTACAACACTGGGAGCACTCTACAACACTGGTGGTGGTGGGAGCACTATACAACACTGGTGGTGGTGGTGGGAGCACTCTACAACACTGGTGGTGGTGGGAGCACTCTACAACACTGGTGGTGGTGGGAGCACTCTACAACACTGGGAGCACTCTACAACACTGGGAGCACTCTACAACACTGGTGGTGGTGGGAGCACTCTACAACACTGGTGGTGGTGGGAGCACTCTACAACACTGGGAGCACTCTACAACACTGGGAGCACTCTACAACACTGGGAGCACTCTACAACACTGGTGGTGGTGGGAGCACTCTACAACACTGGTGGTGGTGGGAGCACTATACAACACTGGGAGCACTCTACAACACTGGGAGCACTCTACAACACTGGTGGTGGTGGGAGCACTATACAACACTGGGAGCACTCTACAACACTGGTGGTGGTGGGAGCACTATACAACACTGGGAGCACTCTACAACACTGGGAGCACTCTACAACACTGGGAGCACTATACAACACTGGGAGCACTATACAACACTCACCTCAACAGTTAAGACACACTACACACCACTCCAGTCATCACTATAACCACAGAGGCGCGGGGGGATGGGGGGGGGGCGGCCCACCTACAGTCACAACCCTCACTGACTGACACTTCAAAACCCCAGTCAACACGCGCCTTAAAGAGTGGAGGTGCGGGCGGCTCTCTCACACTCTCCACCACCGCGACACTTGTGAGGGCCGGCCGCCCTCTCTCGCTCTCTCTCTCTCCCCAGCTGGGTGTGGGCGGTCTGGGTGGTGGGGGGGAGGGGGTGGGGGCGGTCTGTTTGAGGGGGGGAGGGGTGTGGGTGTGGGCGGCCTGGGTGGGGGGGGGAGGGGTTTGGGCGGTGTGGGTAGGTGTTGGGGGTCGGTGTGTGTGTGTGTGTGTGTGTGTGTGTGTGTGTGTGTGTGTGTGTGTGTGTGTGTGTGTGTGTGTGTGTGTGTGTGTGTGTGTGTGTGTGTGTGTGTGTGTGAGATTGGGGGGGGCCCTGCCTCCCCCCCCCGCCATACAATACCCGCAAGGATGAGAAACAAGTCTCAACACTTTCACATGAATACAATCTTCACTATTCCTTCAACTAGTCTCCAGGTGATATTTGTATTCCACGTGCAGTTATGCCTCTTATTTGTCTTCTCAATGCAACCCACTTAGCTGGAAGTAGAAGGGACATTCCTATCCCGTGAGTCAACGGCCTTAATAAGCAGCATTATGTTTGAATTATCAGGGGGGGAAAGCGCCAGGCCATTACCACTTTATAACGCTTGGAAGGGATCAGGATAAGGATTTGGGATGGGACGAAGGGAAAGGAATGGTGCCCAACCACTTGGACGGTCCGGGGATTGAACGCCGACCCGCATGAAGCGAGACCGTCGCTCTACCGTCCAGTCACAGTGGCTGGGGTTTACTAAAGAGAAGTACACCGTACAATGATCAAGGGCACATGAACGACTCAACAAATAAACCAGACCACTATACACTATTAAGAAGCAGAGCATGAAGACGTTGTTGACAAGATGAGGCGGCATCAAGACGGGGCGAGACACTGAACGTTTCCGCCGCTCAGGGAGAGAACACTATCCTTCACACTGCCGGTAAGCTGATCCTCGCCATGGCTACCCCCACACCCCCAGCATCCCCCGGTGAACGCATGGCGACCCCAGCATCCCCCGGTGAACGCATGGCGACCCCAGCATCCCCCGGTGAACGCATGGCGACCCCAGCATCCCCCGGTGAACGCATGGCGACCCCAGCATCCCCCGGTGAACGCATGGCGACCCCAGCAACCGACGGTGAACGCATGGTAAACCCCGGTCAACACGCGGGAATTCTGGCGCGAAACTTCTCACTTGCAAAAAGGCGGGAACATGACGCCAAGCTTTGTGTAAGGTTGCCACGAGGCTGACAACGCTGACTCTGCTAGTGTGGCTGCTAGTACTGACCCCACACTATACTCTGCTAGTGTGGCTGCTAGTACTGACCCCACACTATACTCTGCTAGTGTGGCTGCTAGTACTGACCCCACACTATACTCTGCTAGTGTGGCTGCTAGTACTGACCCCACACTATACTCTGCTAGTGTGGCTGCTAGTACTGACCCCACACTATACTCTGCTAGTGTGGCTGCTAGTACTGACCCCACACTATACTCTGCTAGTGTGGCTGCTAGTACTGACCCCACACTATACTCTGCTAGTGTGGCTGCTAGTACTGACCCCACACTATACTCTGCTAGTGTGGCTGCTAGTACTGACCCCACACTATACTCTGCTAGTGTGGCTGCTAGTACTGACCCCACACTATACTCTGCTAGTGTGGCTGCTAGTACTGACCCCACACTATACTCTGCTAGTGTGGCTGCTAGTACTGACCCCACACTATACTCTGCTTGTGTGGCTGCTAGTACTGACCCCTGTGACGATAATCTCTTTCAAGAGAGATTGAGCCTGCTCTTCCCTAACTAAAGTTACGTCCAGTCTACAAGTATAAGATGCTACATTCAAGATAAGTCACCAGTAGCAGAAAACGTTTTGACCAGGAGGCAAAATGTACCCAAAACCCCCAACTCCACACACCCTCCACGCCAGCTCGTCATCAACCAGCCAACTACCCATCCCAGCCTGCCTGCTCCTGATTGGTGACTCGCCGACTGCACACCTGCACCCTGCACTTCAGCGCCATCTACCTGAGTCGATGTCTGAGCTTGGACCAGCCATCAACTTCAGAATATTCTTTGTGCTCTAAGAGTTGACATCTCTCTCTGGCATACTAAGTTCTCTGGCTTCTGTATACTAAGGGAGGTCTCAGCCATAGCCAATATTCTCAGCACCATTTTACCATTTACTATTTTGTCTCACATTGTTTTTGCATTTATCTTTGTTATTTAATTGCACTATTCATTTCCCCGAGATTTGTCTTTATTTTTATTTATGTTTAAAGTAAATATATTAAAGTTTCATTGTTCATACCTTGTGTTTTACGTGTTCCTCCCTCTCACTTAACACAGACAACAGGCAAGCAGTCTATATTTTTTTTGTGCAAGTGTGACCAGGCATTGACACCTGCCATTGGAGGACTGCCGAACATCTACACTCCAACCCTTTCCCGTCACACCCCACACTATACTGTTATATATAGTTCCACAGAAAAGGTCAGCTCCCTTGCTCTCTGTATTAGCGACCTGAGCAGCTTCAAGCAAGAGGGGAATTATTCTACCAATAAACAAAGGTGTAACGCTTAGCTGCGAATGAGTATGGGAGGGAGGGAGAGGGAAGGGGAAAGGGAGTGGGTGGAGACGGTCAGAAAGGGGAAGGAAGAGGGGGAAAGGGAATATGAGAAAAAGAGGGATAGAAGCCAGTGTACAATCAGCCTCACAATGAACGTCACGCCACAAAACATGGCGGGAGAAAAGCCAAACGTGCGTGAATACACTCTGGCTTCCTGTCCCCGGACAGATTGAATTATTAAAGACCTTTGGTGGTAGTAAGGTAAACATGTGGGCAGCGTCACCCGCTCACAGCGTCACCCGCTCACAGCGCCACCCGCTCACAGCGCCACCCGCTCACAGCTTGCTCAAGTAGGTCAGTTTCCACGGGTCTCGAACCGGGGGACACCCTGGCCACCGGGGGGACACCCTGGCCACCGGGGACACCCTGGCCACCGGGGGACATCCTGGCCACCGGGGGACACCCTGGCCACCGGGGGACACCCTGGCCACCGGGGGACACCCTGGCCACCGGGGGACACCCTGGCCACCGGGGGACACCCTGGCCACCGGGGGACATCCTGGCCACCGGGGGACACCCTGGCCACTGGGGGACACCCTGGCCACCGGAGGACACCCTGGCCACCGGGGGACATCCTGGCCACCGGGGGACACCCTGGCCACCAGGGGACACCCTGGCCACCGGGGGACACCCTGGCCACCGGGGGACACCCTGGCCACCAGGGGACACCCTGGCCACCGGGGGACATCCTGGCCACCGGGGGACACCCTGGCCACCGGGGGACACCCTGGCCACCAGGGGACACCCTGGCCACCAGGGGACACCCTGGCCACCGGGGGACACCCTGGCCACCGGGGGACACCCGGGAACTCCCCAGATGGTGAGGGGAAACATGAACACGTTCAGGGGCGGCGGGGCACTCAGAACCAGGTACAAGGCCGCCTGGTCCACTCTCTACTTTCACTCTCGCCTCCAGGGGGTCACTCTCGCCTCTAGGGGGGTCACTCTCGCCTCTAGGGGGGTCACTCTCGCCTCTAGAGGGGGGTCACTCTCGCCTCTAGAGGGGGGGTCACTCTCGCCTCTAGAGGGGGGTCACTCTCGCCTCTAGAGGGGGGTCACTCTCGCCTCTAGAGGGGGGTCACTCTCGCCTCTAGAGGGGGGTCTCTCTCGCCTCTAGAGGGGGGTCACTCTCGCCTCTAGAGGGGGGTCACTCTCGCCTCTAGAGGGGGGTCACTCTCGCCTCTAGAGGGGGGTCACTCGCCTCTAGGGGGGGTCACTCTCGCCTCTAGGGGGGTCACACTCGCCTCTAGGGGGGAAACACTCGCCTCTAGGGGGGGTCACTCTCGCCTCTAGGTGGGTCACTTGCCTCTAGGGGGGGTCACTCTCGCCTCTAGGGGGGGGGTCACTCTCGCCTCTAGGGGGGGGGGTCACTCTCGCCTCTAGGGGGGGGGTCACTCTCGCCTCTAGGGGGGGGGTCACACTCGCCTCTAGGGGGGGGGTCACTCTCGCCTCTAGGAGGGGGGTCACTCTCGCCTCTAGGGGGGGGGTCACTCTCGCCTCTAGGGGGGGGGGGGTCACTCTCGCCTCTAGGGGGGGGTCACTCTCGCCTCTAGGGGGGGGGGTCACTCTCGCCTCTAGGGGGGGGGTCACTCTCGCCTTTAGGGGGGGGTCACTCTCGCCTCTAGGAGGGGGGTCACTCGCCTCTAGGGGGGGGGTCACTCTCGCCTCTAGGGGGGGGGGGGGTCACTCTCGCCTCTAGGGGGGGTCACTCTCGCCTCTAGGGGGGGTCACTCTCGCCTCTAGGGGGGGTCACTCTCGCCTCTAGGGGGGGGTCACTCTCGCCTCTAGGGGGGGGGTCACTCTCGCCTCTAGGGGGGGGGGTCACTCTCGCCTCTAGGGGGGGGGTCACTCTCGCCTCTAGGGGGGGTCACTCTCGCCTCTAGGGAGGAGTCACTCTCGCCTCTAGGGGGGTCACTCTCGCCTCTAGGGGGGGGTCACTCTCGCCTCTAGGGGGGGGGGTCACTCTCGCCTAAGGGGGGGTCACTCTCGCCTAAGGGGGGGGGTCACTCGCCTCTAGGGGGGGTCACTCTCGCCTCTAGGGGGGGGGGTCACTCTCGCCTCTAGGGGGGGGGGGTCACTCGCCTCTAGGGGGGGTCACTCTCGCCTCTAGGGGGGGTCACTCTCGCCTCTAGGGGGGTCACTCTCGCCTCTAGGGGGGGTCACTCTCGCCTCTAGGGGGGGTCACTCTCGCCTCTAGGGGGGTCACTCTCGCCTCTAGGGGGGTCACTCTCGCCTCTAGGGGGGGGGTCACTCTCGCCTCTAGGGGGGGTCACTCTCGCCTCTAGGGGGGGGTCACTCTCGCCTCTAGGGGGGTCACTCTCGCTTCTAGGGGGGGGTCACTCTCGCCTCTAGGGGGGGGGGGTCACTCTCGCCTCTAGGGGGGGGGGTCACTCTCGCCTCTAGGGGGGGGTCACTCTCGCCTCTAGGGGGGGGTCACTCTCGCCTCTAGGGGGGGGGTCACTCTCGCCTCTAGGGGGGGGTCACTCTCGCCTCTAGGGGGGGTCACTCTCGCCTCTAGGGGGGGGGGGTCACTCTCGCCTCTAGGGGGGGGGTCACTCGCCTCTAGGGGGGGGGGGTCACTCTCGCCTCTAGGGGGGGGTCACTCTCGCCTCTAGGGGGGGTCACTCTCGCCTCTAGGGGGGGTCACTCTCGCCTCTAGGGGGGGGTCACTCTCGCCTCTAGGGGGGGGTCTCTCGCCTCTAGGGGGGGGGGTCTCTCGCCTCTAGGGGGGGGTCTCTCGCCTCTAGGGGGGGGGGTCACTCTCGCCTCTAGGGGGGTCACTCTCGCCTCTAGGGGGGTCACTCTCGCCTCTAGGGGGGTCACTCTCGCCTCTAGGGGGTCACTCTCGCCTCTAGGGGGGTCACTCTCGCCTCGAGGGGGTCACTCTCGCCTCTAGGGGGGTCACTCTCGCCTCTAGGGGGGTCACTCTCGCCTCTAGGGGGGTCACTCTCGCCCCAAATAAGACGCCCCGCTCCCACAGCTGGTGGCCCAAGATGAGACGCCCCACTCCCACAGCTGGTGGCCCAAGATGAGACGCCCCACTCCCACAGCTGGTGGCCCAAGATGAGACGCCCCACTCCCACAGCTGGTGGCCCAAGATGAGACGCCCCACTCCCACAGCTGGTGGCCCAAGATGAGACGCCCCACTCCCACAGCTGGTGGCCCAAGATGAGACGCCCCACTCCCACAGCTGGTGGCCCAAGATGAGACGCCCCGCTCCCACAGCTGGTGGTCCAAGATGAGACGCCCCGCTCCCACAGCTGGTGGCCCAAGATGAGACGCCCCACTCCCACAGCTGGTGGCCCAAGATGAGACGCCCCACTCCCACAGCTGGTGGCCCAAGATGAGACGCCCCACTCCCACAGCTGGTGGCCCAAGATGAGACGCCCCGCTCCCACAGCTGGTGGCCCAAGATGAGACGCCCCACTCCCACAGCTGGTGGTCCAAGATGAGACGCCCCGCTCCCACAGCTGGTGGCCCAAGATGAGACGCCCCACTCCCACAGCTGGTGGTCCAAGATGAGACGCCCCGCTCCCACAGCTGGTGGCCCAAGATGAGACGCCCCACTCCCACAGCTGGTGGTCCAAGATGAGACGCCCCGCTCCCACAGCTGGTGGCCCAAGATGAGACGCCCCACTCCCACAGCTGGTGGCCCAGGATGAGACGCCCCACTCCCACAGCTGGTGGCCCAAGATGAGACGCCCCGCTCCCACAGCTGGTGGCCCAAGATGAGACGCCCCACTCCCACAGCTGGTGGCCCAAGATGAGACGCCCCACTCCCACAGCTGGTGGCCCAAGATGAGACGCCCCACTCCCACAGCTGGTGGCCCAAGATGAGACGCCCCACTCCCACAGCTGGTGGCCCAAGATGAGACGCCCCACTCCCACAGCTGGTGGCCCAAGATGAGACGCCCCACTCCCACAACTGGTGGCCCAAATGCCTTGATTTACTAGATGAAAACCCCGCCCCACAGTACATAATTTTCAGATGAAATACTGACCAGAAATCCTTCCCCAATAATTGGAAAAATTTAGTACGTATGTGTGTATGTATGTGTATAGTTGTGTATATGCATATGAATATAGGTATATATATGTATGTGTATGAATAACTCAATAAATAATAATAATAAAGAGCCTTAAACAGAATAACGTGTGTGGAAGCATCGGAGTGTCTATATATGAATGCTTCACAGTATTCATCTATGGACATCCACATATGGTGAAACACACGTGAAGAACCTCTCACACACTCACAGCTCCCTGACAAGAGGGAGCCAGCTTAGCTTAGCTGCCAACACCCACACATGGTGTCAGCAAGGCGGACAGCCCGCCTGCTTTCATACCTCTCACTGTATTCCCCACTTCTATACTTCCCTTCACCTATGCCTCTCCTTCCTCTTTACTAAGAGAATAAACATAAGGCGAGTTGAACGAGCCAATGTTTACCACTCATCTGATAGGGACTCTCCACGTCCCATGAAGCCCCGTGTGAGTGTGTCCAGGCCGGCTCCTTGAGCAGGGTAAACGAGGCTCCGAAGGAAGGCAAGAAGGAACAAGGAAGAAACAGTGAAGAGACAGCTCGTCTTGGAGACAGACGCGGCCATGAGGAAGGCCAAATGGAACGTCTTTCCTACAGCCTGGTGGCTGTGGGACACCAAGCCGGGAAAGTGTAAGGTCGTGGTGGTGTAGGAGGGCCGCGTGCTGCAGTCTGACCTTGGTACACACAGTGCTTCAAGACGAGCCCAATCGTCTTCCCACCTGTACAGGCGAGAGGCGAGGAGATAGCAACGGTACCGTTATCTCTCCTTGTGCTCAAGCGCCGCTTTGTTCAGTCAATGTTGCACCACTGTACACGTCAGTTATCTTGCACCACTGCACACGTCAGTTATCTTGCACCAGTACACACGTCAGTTATCTTGCACCAGTACACACGTCAGTTATCTTGCACCAGTACACACGTCAGTTATCTTGCACCAGTACACATGTCAGTTATCTTGCACCAGTACACACGTCAGTTATCTTGCACCAGTACACATGTCAGTTATCTTACACCACTGTACACGTCAGTTATCTTGCACAAGTACACACGTCAGTTATCTTGCTCCAGTACACACGTCAGTTATCTTACACCACTGTACACGTCAGTTATCTTGCACCACTGTACACGTCAGTTATCTTGCACCACTGTACACGTCAGTTATCTTGCACCACTGTACACGTCAGTTATCTTGCACCACTGTACACGTCAGTTATCTTGCACCACAGGAATATGTTGCAAACCGCCTTGCATGAGGTGGTCAGTTGCAGGGCGTGTGATCAGAGCCCAATACACTCGACCCTCGGGGCAACACAGAGCCCAATACACTCGACCCTCGGGGCAACATTTACAAATGTAAACAAATATCCGGATGGGCGCCTTCCGCAGCGACCTGGGGCCTGATTCACCATATCCGGATGGGCGCCTTCCGCAGCGACCTGGGGCCTGATTCACCAAGCAGTTACGCAAGCACTTATGAACCTGTACATCTTTCCTCAATCTTTGACGGCTTTGGTTACTTTTATTAAACAGTTTACAAGCATGAAAACTTGCCAATTAACTGTTGTTATTGTTATAAACAGCCTCCTGGTGCTTCAGGGCTCATTAACTGTTTAATAATTGTAAACAAAGCCGCCAAAGACTGGGAAAAGATGGACAGGTTCGTAAGTGTTTGCGTAACAGCTAAAATTGTCCATGATTGAAGCTATAATAATTATATATATGATCAATATGCACAACAAATACTCATGTGGGTATCCCGGCCTCAGTGATGACCCTGGCCTCTAGTTATTGACCCCATGACCTCACAATATGTTCTTACTCAATACTCAACACATCAATTGTAGCGACGCCTCCATTACTCTTAAGATCACGCTCTACAAAATAATGAGCAGGAGAGAGAGGAAGGCAGCAGCAGGAGGCAGGACCCGCCACAACTCTCCACTAAGACAGGCGGGAGAGAGGAAGGCAGCAGCAGGCAGAAGAAGGCAGCAGCAGGATACCTGGTTGATACCTGGTTGATGGGGTTCTGGGAGTTCTTCTACTCCCCAAGCCCGGCCCGAGGCCAGGCTCGACTTGTGAGAGTTTGGTCCACCAGGCTGTTGCTTGGAGCGGTCCGCAGGCTCACATACCCACCACAGCCCGGTTGGTCCGGCACTCCTTGGAGGAATAAATCTAGTTTCCTCTTGAAAATGTCCACGGTTGTTCCGGCAATATTTCTTATGCTCGCTGGGAGGACGTTGAACAACCGCGGACCTCTGATGTTTATACAGTGTTCTCTGATTGTGCCTATGGCACCTCTGCTCTTCACTGGTTCTAATCTACATTTTCTTCCATATCGTTCACTCCAGTACGTTGTTATTTTACTGTGTAGATTTGGTACTTGGCCCTCCAGTATCTTCCAGGTGTATATTATTTGATATCTCTCTCGTCTTCTTTCTAGTGAGTACATTTGGAGGGCTTTGAGACGATCCCAATAATTTAGGTGCTTTATTGCGTCTATGCGTGCCGTATATGTTCTCTGTATTCCCTCTATTTCAGCAATCTCTCCTGCTCTGAAGGGGGAAGTGAGTACTGAGCAGTACTCAAGACGGGACAACACAAGTGACTTGAAGAGTAAAACCATTGTGATGGGATCCCTGGATTTGAAAGTTCTCGTAATCCATCCTATCATTTTTCTGGCTGTCGCAATATTTGCTTGGTTATGCTCCTTAAACGTTAGGTCGTCAGACATTATTATTCCCAAATCCTTTACATGCTGTTTTCCTACTATGGGTACATTTGATTGTGTTTTGTACTCTGTATTATGTTTAAGGTCCTCATTTTTACCGTACCTGAGTACCTGGAATTTATCACTGTTAAACATCATGTTATTTTCTGATGCCCAGTCGAAAACTTTATTAATATCAGCTTGAAGTTTTTCAATGTCCTCAGCCGAGGTAATTTTCATACTGATTTTTGTGTCATCTGCAAAGGATGATACGAAGCTGTGACTTGTATTTTTGTCTATATCTGATATGAGAATAAGGAAAAGCAGCGGTGCAAGGACTGTACCCTGAGGTACAGAGCTTTTCACTGCACTTGGACTAGATTTTATATGGTTGACCGTTACTCGCTGAGTCCTGTTTGACAGAAAACTGAGTATCCAGCGTCCTACTTTACCGGTTATTCCCATTGACTTCATTTTGTGTACTATCACGCCATGGTCACATTTATCGAAGGCCTTTGCGAAGTCCGTGTATATCACATCAGCATTCTGTTTCTCTTCTAATGCCTCAGTGACTTTGTCGTAGTGCTCAAGTAGCTGTGAGAGGCACGATCTTCCCGCTCGAAATCCATGTTGGCCTGGGTTGTGAAGGTCATTGGTCTCCATGAAATTGGTGACCTGACTCCTAATCACTCTCTCAAATACTTTTATGATGTGCGATGTTAGTGCAACTGGTCTATAATTTTTGCCAATGCTTTGCTCCCTCCCTTGTGTAGAGGGGCTATGTCTGCTACTTTAAGTGCATCTGGTATCTCCCCCGTGTCTAAGCTCTTCCTCCACACTATACTGAGTGCCTGTGCTACCGGCACTTTGCATTTCTTTATAAATATTGAATTCCATGAGTCTGGACCTGGGGCCGAGTGCATGGGCATGTTTTCAATTTCTTTTTCAAAATTTAGTGCACTCGTGTTTATATCAGTTATATTTACCGGGGTTTGAATATCCCGCATAAAGAAAATGTCTGGATCTTCCACCTTCATGTTGTTTATTGGAGTGCTAAACATGTCCTCATACTGCTTTTTTAGGATTTCACTAATTTCTTTGTCATCCTCCGTGTATGAACCTTCACTTGTACGAATAGGTCCAATACTGGCAGTGGTTTTTGCTTTTGATTTCGCATATGAGAAGAAATATTTTGGATTTTTTCTTTATTTCCTGAATTGCTTTCTGTTCTAACTGCCTTTCTTCAGTTTCATATGAGTGTTTCAATTGGAAGAGAGAGAGGAAGGCAGCAGCAGGAGGAGGCAGGACCCGCCACAACTCTCCACTAAGACAGGCAGGAGAGAGGAAGGCAGCAGCAGCAGCAGGAGGCAGGACCCGCCACAACTCTCCACTAAGACAGGCGGGAGAGAGGAAGGCAGCAGCAGGAGGAGGCAGGACCCGCCACAACTCTCCACTAAGACAGGCAGGAGAGAGGAAGGCAGCAGCAGCAGGAGGCAGGACCCGCCACAACTCTCCACTAAGACAGGCAGGAGAGAGGAAGGCAGCAGGAGGAGGAGGAGGCAGGACCCGCCACAACTCTCCACTAAGACAGGCAGGGGAGAGAGGAAGGCAGCAGCAGGAGGAGGCAGGACCCGCCACAACTCTCCACTAAGACAGGCGGGAGAGAGGAAGGCAGCAGCAGGAGGAGGAGGCAGGACCCGCCACAACTCTCCACTAAGACAGGCGGGAGAGAGGAAGGCAGCAGGAGGAGGAGGAGGCAGGACCCACCACAACTCTCCACTAAGACAGGCGGGAGAGAGGAAGGCAGCAGGAGGAGGAGGAGGCAGGACCCGCCACAACTCTCCACTAAGACAGGCGGGAGAGAGGAAGGCAGCAGCAGCAGCAGGAGGCAGCAGGACCCGCCACAACTCTCCACTAAGACAGGCGGGAGAGAGGAAGGCAGCAGCAGGAGGCAGCAGGACCCGCCACAACTCTCCACTAAGACAGGCGGGAGAGAGGAAGGCAGCAGCAGGAGGCAGCAGGACCCGCCACAACTCTCCACTAAGACAGGCGGGAGAGAGGAAGGCAGCAGTAGGAGGAGGAGGCAGGACCCGCCACAACTCTCCACTAAGACTGGCGGGAGAGAGGAAGGCAGCAGCAGGAGGAAGCAGGACCCGCCACAACTCTCCACTAAGACAGGCGGGAGAGAGGAAGGCAGCAGCAGGAGGAAGCAGGACCCGCCACAACTCTCCACTAAGACTGGCGGGAGAGAGGAAGGCAGCAGTAGGAGGAGGAGGCAGGACCCGCCACAACTCTCCACTAAGACTGGCGGGAGAGAGGAAGGCAGCAGCAGGAGGAAGCAGGACCCGCCACAACTCTCCACTAAGACTGGCGGGAGAGAGGAAGGCAGCAGCAGGAGGAAGCAGGACCCGCCACAACTCTCCACTAAGACTGGCGGGAGAGAGGAAGGCAGCAGCAGGAGGAGGCAGGACCCGCCACAACTCTCCACTAAGACAGGCGGGAGAGAGGAAGGCAGCAGCAGGAGGAGGAGGCAGGACCCGCCACAACTCTCCACTAAGACTGGCGGGAGAGAGGAAGGCAGCAGCAGGAGGAAGCAGGACCCGCCACAACTCTCACTAAGACTGGCGGGAGAGAGGAAGGCAGCAGCAGGAGGAAGCAGGACCCGCCACAACTCTCCACTAAGACTGCTGAATATTCACGTAGCGTCTTTAATCCGGGAAGACGCTACGGAAGACTTCACTCTTCCAGAGGAGTGACTGTTGCCTCCGTGTCTCCGTGTCCTCCGTGTCTCTGTGTCCTAGTGTCCTCCGTGTCTCTGTGTCCTAGTGTCCTCCGTGTCTCTGTGTCCTCCGTGTCTCTGTGTCCTCCGTGTCTCCGTGTCCTAGTGTCCTCTGTGTCCTCCGTCTCCTCGTGTCCTCCGTGT